AGACCTCTTCCGAGGCCCTGGAATGCCGACAATCTGAAAATATATTACAAGTAAAATTCCCGACGCCTTTGAGGAGATTTTCTTTTTCTGCATTTTATTTCTAGTTTTGCGGGCCTGCGTGCCCATGCATGTTTTCCGTTCTCTTTTGTAATGAACTACGTTCGGCTTGATCCTGTTTGGGTACGTAGGCAGCTTGGATGCATTATAAATCCAAGTCCAGTCCAAACAATTAATAAGTCTAAACCCTGGGTATGACGACCCGATAGTTTGCTTTGCGTCCAGCAAGCCGTCTAAAGCCTTGCCCTCGAGCAAGCCCCCTTTAAGCCTTGTCCTTGACAAGCCAATGTAAGCCTTGGCCTCGAGCAAGCCCCTTTAAGCCTTGGCCTCGAGCAAGCCGTCTAAAACCTTGCCTCGAGCAAGCACCAAAATCTTGGAGCTCATAATCAGCACATCAAAATAGTGCAGCACAAGTATAAATACCGAGGACATATATCCCGACCATATATCCTTGTATTTTCGTCCAAGCCTGAAAATAAAAGCTCGGGATAAACTCATGTGCAAAGGTCGGTCACAATTATTCCTACTCCTCGGGGACGACCATCCCTTGAACTTAATCCTCGAGTGTTGAGTGTGTAGAAAACTATACTGTCCTCGGCATTGTCACTTGTTTAAAAATTGAGTTATTCTCAATCGTCGAGATGATTAATTAGTCGTCGAAAATAATTAATCTTCTTTACTCGTCGAGGTAACTTGTCTATATGCTCGGGGTTCACACTTGGATGTTCCAAGATAATTTTACTATCTAGTCCTCGTGGTAACTTGCTTAATGCTCGGGGTCAACAATGATGTTCCCAAATAATTTTACAGTTTGAGTCCCCGGGATGAATTTGTGTTCGTTATAATATTCACGAATATGTCCTCGAGGTGTTTCACTACTCTAGGCGTCGAGTAACCATCTAACCTCGGGCTATTGAATGATCGAGATACATTGACAGCAGAAGGAAAATAATTCATCGAGTTAAATACATGTTCAAATTACAAAACGGAAGGGCTATCATCATACAAAAAACAAACAAAAACTAATCTAAGTCCTCGGCCCTTTCTCCCGAGGCTGTGCTCCCCTGCTCCTCCACCGCGTCCTCGCCGTCAACATCGACCTCTTGGTCCTCGACGGTTTCCTCGGACTCTGACAGCTCGAGAGTATCAGCAATCTCAGGGATGTTCTTTAGATCCTCGGGATTAGCATCGGGCTTCGATCTCAAAAACGCCCGAGCTTCCTTGAAGGCATGGAAGTACGAGCCGAGCCCATGGCATACTCTCCCTTGAGGCCGTTAAACTCCTCGGACATTTTAAAGTCCTCAATCGCGACCCCTCGAGCTTCAGCCAGGCGAGCCTCAAAATCAACCTTCAAATGCTCGATCTCGAGCTTTAAACCTTCAGCCTCGCCCTTAGCAGTTCTAGCCTCTTCTCGAGCTCTATGGGCATCATTTTTCGAATCCTCGAGCTCCTTCCGAAGAAGAAACCGTTCAGCCTCCTAGTCGGCTATCCTCTTCTCCAGTGCTCGAGAAGAGTCCTCGAGTTCAGTAGTCTTTTGGGCCTCATCTTTCCCCTTCAGAGAAAGGCCTCGGGCAATGCTCAAAGCCTACAACATATAAACCCGAGCTTAAAATAATCACAGTGTTTAAACCTTTTTAAACCTTGTATTTTAAACAAAGTAGAATGGGCGAGCTTACCTTCAGAGTAAGAGATTCCAAAGCCTTCATGCCCTCATCAAAACCGAGGTCCTTCCTGTACTTGTCCATGATGCTTGACACCAGAGGACACCAGTCAGGCTCCTGGTTTTGGAAAGAGGGCATAGGTCGAACCTCATCCTCGAGGTCAACAACCTCGGGAGTACTCCTTGGCCGAGGATGTGACCGAGGTGGACCAGTAGGAGTCTCCGTGGCCTGTGTGGTCGGGGTAT